GGGAAAGGCGCGCCGCGGCTTCAAGTGGGGAGAGTGCGGCGAGTGTTTTGGTGCGGAGGCGGCATTGAGGCGGCATCTGGCGGGGCACGCCAAGGGCGGGCCGCACTCGTGCGGGCTGTGCGGCAAGGGGTTCACTAGGGCTCCGGATCTTGTCAGGCACGAGAGGATCCACACCGGGGAGAAGCCCTACCAGTGTGAAGAGTGCGGAAAGAAGTTTCCCGATTCAAGTAGTTTTCAAAGACACAACAGGATTCACACCGGGGAGAAGCCCTACCAGTGTGAAGAGTGCGGAAAGAAGTTTTCTGTTTCAAGTAATCTTCAAGTTCACAGCAGGACCCACACCGGGGAGAAGCCGTACCAGTGTGAAGGGTGCGGAAAGAAGTTCTCTCATTCAAGTCTTCTTCAAGTTCACAGAAGGATCCACACCGGGGAAAAGCCCTACAAGTGTGAAGAGTGCGACAAGAAGTTCTCTAAGTCGAGTCACCTTCAAGTTCACAGACGGATCCACACCGGGGACAAGCCGTTAGAGAGGTTCGTTTTGCACGAAAGTTCGAAATGTCAATGGGCCCGCTCGGATTCCGGTTCTACGTCCAATTATAAGATTTTTGACACCTTGGTCGACTCGATCAGACCACCGGAAGGGGTCGCACCAGGCCTCAGAAGTTCTTGTCTTCGGACACGCCGGTTGCCGACTTTCCAGGGGCTAAACACGCGTAACGCTTCGTTTCTCAGAAAATGTCATAAAATGAAAGTTGCTGGAAATGCAAAAGTACGTTGGACTCAAGTTATTAATTTACAAAAACTCAAAAACGTCGAAGTTTTGTTGCCTACTTACAGGGGGCAAAAGGTCGGAAATCGACATGAAACACGGTACACATAGGAACTGTTCCACAAATGTATGTAGGTTAGTAAAGAACAATTATATTTAAGTACACTTTGACTTCATATATTATAAATAATGTTTTTGTACCATTATGCTGATTATGGTTACAGTTCACGAACGCTACCAAAAGAATTCGCTAAGTTTATCACATTTGCACCGAATCCACACTTACAACGAAGAGGAGACGCTGCATTTCTTCTTCGTCGGTGGTAATCTCGTTTCCCTCGATGAGCCTGCAACCCCACGTCATCTGATTTATTTAGATTGTTAAAATTTGAGACCATCTCTGTGCTCTCCTGGAAGTTTATTTCGGTATTTAACACTGCGAAATCTTTTCTCGGAAAGCTAGTTGCTAACCTCGCAGCTTTAAGAAACCTCAAGAATTGCTTGCATTCACAGTGTCAGCAAGGGTGACTGAGGCCAAAACAGCAGCCTACGTAAAATGTAGTATCTTAGTCTCTATTTTCCTCGAAGATCACTTCGATGTCAAAGAGAAACATAACAAGCTTGGTAGATGAGCACCAGTCTTGAATACTGACATAAACTTTCAGGAGAGCACAGAGATGGTCTCAAATTTTAACAATCTAAATAAATCAGATGACGTGGGGTTGCAGGCTCATCGAGGGAAACGAGATTACCACCGACGAAGAAGAAATGCAGCGTCTCCTCTTCGTTGTAAGTGTGGATTCGGTGCAAATGTGATAAACTTAGCGAATTCTTTTGGTAGCGTTCGTGAACTGTAACCATAATCAGCATAATGGTACAAAAACATTATTTATAATATATGAAGTCAAAGTGTACTTAAATATAATTGTTCTTTACTAACCTACATACATTTGTGGAACAGTTCCTATGTGTACCGTGTTTCATGTCGATTTCCGACCTTTTGCCCCCTGTAAGTAGGCAACAAAACTTCGACGTTTTTGAGTTTTTGTAAATTAATAACTTGAGTCTAACGTACTTTTGCATTTCCAGCAACTTTCATTTTATGACATTTTCTGAGAAACGAAGCGTTACGCGTGTTTAGCCCCTGGAAAGTCGGCAACCGGCGTTTTCGAAGACAAGAACTTCCGAGGCCTGGTGCGACCCCTTCCGGTGGTCTGATCAAGTCGACCAAGGTGTCAAAAATCTTATAATTGGACGTAGAATTGGAATCCGAGCGGGCCCCATGATATTTCGAACCTTCGTGCAAAACGAACCCCTCTAACAAGCCGTATCAGTGTGAAGAGTGCGGAAAGACGTTCTCCAGAGCAGATAATCTTCAAAGTCACAAGAAACTTCACACGGCGCAGTAGCCCGTCGCGAGGAGTGCGTCAAAAAAATCGCATCTGGGTTGCCTCAAGAACGTTTATTATGTTCACACAACCATTTTGGCCAACATTACCCAACCTGATATTTGTGCGATCGAGACGACCGTGTTGTCATTTTTGTTGAGTTGTCTGTTTATCTTGAGTCCCTTCGCGCTACGCCTGCCTCACTTTACTTGCGTTCCATCGCCGTCCTTGCTGTCTTTTGCGTACCCTATATGCCATCTTGTTTCTAAGTTGAAGCGCTCTTATTTTGTAACCTACAGGTGCTGTGCCGTAAAGTTTTGTTATAGTTGCGCGCGAATCGATCCTGAATGCCGTTTAGGCAGGGCGAAATGCAGTTACTCGTTTTGTTTATAATGCGGTGCACACAGAATCTTGACTGTTAGGTTGGCCTTCTTGGTGGTCTATATTTTTCTTAAATTGTACTTCACTTAATTTTTTACGTAATGTAAATAAAGTCTCTTATATCGTCCGCATTAACCATCTTCTGCATAAAAGGCGTGAACAAAAGCCAAGCCTGGAAAGCACTTTAAAACTGTCAGCCACCATGTACACTGCCAATTGCTGATGCCACCACTTGCAGTGAGTAGGATACTCGATGGTTGACACAGCATGAACACCTCTGTGTTCTTACGTATGAATTCGTATCAGAAGCGTTCCTGGTTTTAGTTTTCGCTACACGCTGGTGGCTGCTTGACTTATCTTCGTGAAAGTTCTGAGATCTGTATTCTGTAAGGCAAGACCAGCCTAGAGATTCTTGATGAAAGTTTTGCTGGGTTCGAAACTGATGCTGCTCTACTCCACAAATCGAAGAGCGTACATTGTATGCTCTCACTGGAGCATGCCTGCAAGCACGCTCTAGCTACACTGTGGCAAAAAGGTACGGAAAATTCTCTTAATTTTTTTGCCAGGATTCTCCGTAGCCCTCTTATCAATATTCTCCGTAGGCTCTTACAGTATTCTCCGTAGGGCCGTACAGTATGCTCTGTAAGTCCGCACAGTCTTCTCCGTAGGACCTGGAAGACTGTATAGTCCTACGGAGATCACTGTAAGGTCTTACGGAGAATACTGTGCGGTCCTACGGAAAATACTGTAAGAGCCTACGGAGAATATTGATAAGGGGGCTACGGAGAATTACCACAAGCTGTTTACAGAATTTTCCGTAGCTTTTTGCCACAGTGTATACCGCATGCCTGCCAAGCATGCACTTACTAGTACATACATGTCATGTACACGCCAACTGAAGCATGCATCTACTGCATAAGGGATAGGGAGTTGCCTGCGTCAGGAAGCGTGAACATGGCATGTATGCACTAGTAAGTGCATGCTTCGCAGACATGCGCTAGCAAGAGCGTGCTTGCAGGCATGCTCTAGTTAGAGCATACATAATATGTACGCTCTTCGATTTGCGGAGTAGTTTTAAATTAGATTCCACTTTTAAAAATTAATTAGTCAGTACGTTTGAAAACTGTCAACTTTATACGACGATTTGTGACTTGAAAAGTTTATTACAGATGTAGGATTCACTTTGGTTGCCTTCATGGCCTCCGTCCGCCTGGAAGCGGTTCTGACGCCGTGCCTCCTTTGCAGGTGCCGCTGCCCTGCCGCCACCGCGGGTCCCGGACGTGCTGTGTGGTGTCGCTGCGCTGGGGGAGGTTGCTGCCCGGAACCCCAACGATGACCGCCTTGGCGCCGCACGCAACGCCCAGACTGCGGCGGATGTGGTTGGAATCTGGCGAGGCGCCAGACGCACTGCCACTCGCGCTGCCCACTGTGTTGCGGGGCGCCTGGAGCGGCTGCCTGCCAGTGCACTCCCTGGACGCTCCCTGCTCCCGCTGCCCGACAGTGCGTCCGCGGAGCTGCCGTGGCTGCGGGCCGATGTGGCCGAACCTGGAACTAGATTTAACTTTAACACCTTCGCGCCGGTGCGAGAACATGGTTCTCGCACGCTGAAAGCCCAAACGCCGATACGAGAACATGGTTCTCGTCACGAGCTGTTTTCGCTCAAAACCTCTAGAAAAGATGGGGTAACTCGGATCGAAAAAGCGATGCCATATTCGGAATCTACGTAAAATTTCCAACATTTCGGCTAAAAATTTAGGTCTCTAGCGTGTAATTTGGCACGAGAACATGGTTCTCGTGCCGGCAGGAACGGATCGCAAACACGAGAACCATGTTCTCGTACCGGCGGGAACGCCATTTCACCAAGGTAAATTCACAAAAGTACGAGGACGTTTTTTTGTGAATTTACCTTCGTGAAATGGCTTTCCCGCCGGTACGAGAACATGGTTCTCGTGTTAGCGACCCGTTCCTGCCGGCACGAGAACATGGTTCTCGTGCCAAATATGGCATCGCTTTTTCGATCCGAGTTACCCCATCTTTTCTACAAGTTTTGAACGAAAAAAGCTCGCGACGAGAACCATGTTCTCGTATTGGCATTTGGGCTTTTATCGTGCGAGAACCATGTTCTCGCACCGGTGTAAAGAGGGTGAGTCTTAAAACTTTTTTTTTTGTTGAGTTCTAATTTTATCATCCCTTTACCACCAATTGTGGCCTTTCAGCCGGTACGAGAACATGGTTCTCGTACGGCAAAGGCTCAGACGCCGACACGAGAACATGGTTCTCGTATAGGAGATTTTTGGCGCATGGTGTTTGGGTGGTCATACCAAGTCCGAATATCCATGTGCCATGTGGTTGCGACGTACGGTTCGGTAGTTAGCACCTTCGGCATCTAGGCTTTTCCACCAAAATTAGCTTCGGCGCGAAGGTGTTAAACATATAGCACTGTTCGGGATTATTTTGTGAAATTACGATTAGTTGTCTGTTAAATCTGTACCACGAACTGCTCGTAAATTTCAAAAACGATCTGATCATCCGAGATGGCCTCAGTAAATACACGCACAACTGATCCAAATTATTTCCCCATTAATTGAATAAATTATGATTAATTGTGAATTATGTAAAATTATTACAAATTATTGGTAATTATTCCAAAAAAATTAAAATAATGAAAATAAAATTGACATTGTCCGGAAGGACGATCATGCTCCGTAGCGACGCCCGAGCTGCGGCAAGCTTAGGTGGCTTTGGGTTGTGTCAAGCTGGATGATCACAGACGTGGATTTATTCAACTCATTTACACGAGGCTAATGGCCTGGTATGACAAATTAAGTGCTGCTCTGAAATCCACGGTTGAGGCTACGTTAGTCGATTTGAGAATTTACGCAACCACATCTGTCTTCTGCTAGCGGACTTCGCCGCTACAAACACCACAAACCATCACTTCCTCTTTGGAAAATTGATAAGCATTCAATATTTCCATAACGGCACTGGTAGCCAAGGAATGTGACGTCACGTTTGTTTTCACGTGAAAACGGCGATGATACTTTGAGCGTGACAAACGGTGAAAATCAACATTCAAACGAATGTGACACACTGCACCGCTTTGTCACATTACTTCGGGTGTAACATGCAATCAGCTGTCAAACTGTCACATTAAAACGTATGTGACACATGGTACCCAAGTAGACATGTCGTGTCACATCCAAACGAATGTGACACCCATGTACTGTCACGTTCGTTTGAATGTGTAATGCACCGTTATGGAAATATTGGATGCTTCTCAATTTTCCAAATAGATAGTGATGGTTCGTGGTGTTTGTAGCGGTGAAGTCCGCTAGCTAGACGACAGACGTTGCGGTTGCGTAAATTCTCATACCGTGGATTTCAGAGCAGCACTTAATTTGTCATACCAGGTGATTAGCCTCGTGTCGATGACTTGAAATCCACGTCGGTGATCGTCCTGCTCGACACAACCCAAATCAACATAAGCTTGCCGCTGCTCGGGCGTCGCTCCGGAGCATGATCGTCCTTCCGGACAATTTCAATTTTATTTTCATTATTTTAATTTTTTTGGAATAATTACCAATAATTTGTAATAATTTTACATAATTCACAATTAATCATAATTTATGCAATTAATGGGGAAATAATTTGGATCAGGTGTGCGTGTATTTACTGAGCCATCCCCGATCATCCATCTTTTTTTCGTCAATTTACAAAAATATTCTTAAACTTACAAACTTAATCCTCAAATTTTGGTCGGGGGAACTTCAACAGGTATAAGGTCCCATCAGGTATAATCCCATCAGGTATAATGTTCTTCAGGTATAATTGGCAACACGCATAATTCTCAACAGGTATAATGGATTTATTTTTTGTTTCATCAGGTATAATTTGCATCAAGTATAATTCCCAACAAATATAACTTTTATTTTTTAAAATCTTTTTTATATTTTACAATAAATTTGGCTCTGAGGAGCGATCCAATTCATAGTCTGGGCAACAGTGACACCTTGCTAGGTGGGTGCATTCAGAAAGCGAGGCAATAGTGGAACCTTGGCCAAGGAGGGGAATCCATTCCAGAACCAGGAAGAAGACTTGAAATCAGAACTGACAATTAATGCTTTTCACTCTGTAGGCCACTGTACATCACTACACTAATCTAGAATACTAATCAAAGTACAATAATTGGTACGCCACCTCCGCTTCGGATACCATCAATGCAAAGCACACTGGGAACAACTGTAACGAAGTGCCAAAACATCTTTAAGTATCGATGCAGTACCGTACATCGCAAAGTACACAAGAAAGCCTCGTAGACTTTTTGAGTGCTTGCAGCTGCAAACAGTGTGCTCACCATGTCTTGGTAGAGGGCCAAAATGACTAACAGCTGCCTACTAGATGGTTTCTCAGGACGGACGGAAAATGTTCCATCAATTATGATCCATACTGCAGCTGGTGAAATTGTGTATTATGCCTGATGGGAATTATATTTGACGGGAATTATGTTTGATGACATTATTCCTGATGGGAATTATATGTGAAGATAATTATATCTTATGCTACGCTTGTATTTATTATATAATATCGGTTATATCTGTTAAGAATTATACCTGAGGAGATTTCATGTTAATCAAGAATAATTATTTATGCATTATATCTGATGAGAATTATGCTTGATGAGATTATACCTGATGGGACCTTATACCTGATGAAGACTACTCTTTTGGTCGTTTCAGGCATTTTTTCTTCCTATATAGTAAGGTAACAACGGACGAAAACGCATTTTTTCAGACTTGCTTTTACAATCATACTTGTACATTAACGATTTCACCTGTAAATTTAAGAAGCAGTTTGTAAAATGATGAACAATTTGTCAATTTACAATTTACTCTGTAAAAAAAGTGCAGTTCGTGGTACAGATTCAACAGGCAACTATTCATAAAAAATAAGCTTCATTTGTAAGAAAACAAGTTTAGGCGTGATAAAACGAGAATAGTCGTAAGATAACGATTTTATCAGTAAAACTACGATCTTTCGTCAGTAACATTTAGATTACATCGTAAAATTACGAATTTATTCCTAAATTTATGAGTAAAGTTTGTCGAAAATATGACGATTGTTCGTTTCATGAATCTTGTAGCTATTTTACGAATTATTATTTGTAAAATTACAACACTAATTGTTGGGATTACTGTTGTAAAATGACGACTTCTCTTAACGGTGCGTGCACTCCAGGAACAAGTGGCAACACTTGCGACTTCGCGTGGCGTCGGCCACCATGTACACTGCACATTGCAGATGCCTGACACAAACCCCATACGGCAATGAGCAGTTTACTCGATGGTTGATTCCACGCGAAGTAGTAAAAAGCGTTTTCACTTGGGTTTTACTTCAGAACCACTCGTTATTTATTTTTTGGTTGCAAATGGCATCTTGTTGGTATTTTTTTACAAACGAGATCTTCTCATTCACTTAAGATTGCACTGTATTTCTGCTCCGCTTTTTTTTGTGCGTGTCTGATATTTTTTACGCATGCGTGTGTGGATGGGACTCTGTTGCTCCAGTTTTCCGAATTCGGTGGCAGTCCTGCATGCGTCTGTGATGGAGGCATTTAAAACCAAGCGTTTCTAACGTCAAGTGTCTTTCAGGTGGTCCTAGCGCCCCTGCCGCCCGCATTGCAGTCAGGAGTATCTTCAGCGTGGCCAACTTTGGACCGCGCAGCCCGCTTCTCGCGTCCCGATTGCCTGTCCAATGTGAAGAGGCAGGCGTGAGCGAAGCCAGGGTGGGTTTCGTGGAACCTTGCAAAGCAACTCGTTGGAACCTTGCAAAGAACTCGGCTGCGCAGAATGTGCGCAGAATCTCATTATTGCTGACACTTACTTCAGAACGCTGCAGGCCATTTTATTCCCGTTACGGATTCTTCTGCCACTTTCAATGAAGCCGAATTCTTCGCAATTTGAACATTGCTCCGCAGGGTGGGGTGCAATACGAATTTGTGTCAGTGTAATGGCTGTCCCTTCTGCAGGATTCGCACGCCGCAGCGGAAGGCACGCCGTCTGTCCTGCAGTGCGTCGAGAGCCTGGACTTGATGGACCTCTGCATGGCTGCACCGGGGACTCGGCAGGAGGAAAAGGTGGCCACGTTGGAACGGATGGGGCAGCCAGGGGTGAGTTCTCCGGGTTGTTCGCAGACGATGGTCATTCTGTACCGTTACACTCTACAATAACAGGAAAAGTAGCGATATACATCGGCAACTTTGGCCCGTCCCGTACATTAAGAACCGTACGAATTTCTCCTATGTTTGACCCTGACGGGAATTAAATCTGAGTCTGGGGTTAAAATAAATGTCGTTTTCGTCATCAGCACCCTCAAAAACATCAGAAACAATGCAAAAACTCGAAAAAAAAGAATGTTCCAAAAATACCCCGCTGGGATTTGAACCCGGGTCCGAACTTCTCCGATTTGCTCGAAACTGGCACCATTGGTTTTCTCTCGTCGCCCCGATTCCAAAAATACCCCTACATGCCCTCCTAGCTGCATCCGTTGCCGAGATCCTCCTCGACCCCATGTAGACCATGATGCACCTGCAGCAGCGCCCCCGGGGCTCGGATCGGATTTGCTGCCACCGGGCGGTTCTTAGGGTCACCCAAGGAGGCTGCATACCAAATTTGGTCAAGATCGGACCACGGGAAGTCCTCGGACGAACGAACGAACGAACGGACGAACGAATGAACGAACGAACGAACGGACGCACAGCATGCATCATACTATATGCCCGTCCCTCCGTCATTTTTTTACAAAAAATAAACGGGACGGGCCAAAAAATGTCCTGTCAACGCCGTTAATTTATTACCAATGTTTGCTGTTATGCAATTCACGGCGTTTGCTGTGAACTAGTTCACGGCGTTCACTGTGATCTCGGTTACAGTGTTCACTGTGATCTGGCCACAGTAAACGCCGTGAATTGGAGCCTGATTTGCAGTACTTCGGTGCTTAGCGGCGTCAAACTCACAGTGTTTACTGGGGACCAGATCACAGTGAACACCGCGAACAAGATCACAGTGAATCCCGTGAGCAGATCACAGTAAACGCTGTGAATTGACCTACAGTGAAAACTGGTAATAAATTAACGGCATTTACAGGACATTTTTGGTAGAGTGTACTTCCGTCATTACTTAAACTCTTTTGGACTGTTTTGATGGGTAGTTATGAATCTGTTATGCATAACTATGAATGTACAGACACAAGGTAAGGTATATTATGCATCACTGTGTTCATTTTATACCCAGCTTATGCACGCATAATTATGCATAGATGTGTCCACAAGAATTGAGTGCGTACATTCGATGCCCCCCACCCGCACTTCGGTTTCTTTGCATTAATGCCTTGATCAGCCGGTAAGAGGAAAAGAAATCGATTTCGTCTCTGGGACTCAACTTTCGATCCCACGGGTGCTGGAAAAGGGTCGAACGGGCCAAACTGGACATTGCAGTTAGACGTGGGATGTTTTGAAGAACTCAGCCCGCTTCCAGTTTCTCTAAGCCCAATTTAACTCTGCCCCATAATTCGTTACTCTTCGGAGCTCTCCCGTTGACTGCTTGCTGTTCGTGCAGGCGCGGCGGTTGAAGCACATTCGCTGCCGCTGCGACGTGGACCCTGCCTGGACCCTCGAGGTGCTGCGTCGCGCCGCCCCGACGCTGGAGGAGCTTTTCGTGTCGATGCCCCGAGAGGAGCACCTTCGCACCGTGCACGCCATGCCGCGGCTGCGGCGGATGTATTTGATCGCGTCTAGTTCGACTCGGCTCGCGCTGCCCGCCCTGCCGCACGGCAGCCTCGAGTGGCTCAGGGTGAGCGGACTGCCCCAGCCCGCCCTGGTGTCGCTGCTGCAGGCCCACGCCGCGTCGCTCCGAGTGCTGTGGCTGGACGTGAGTCGCGGTGCCAAGTCGGGGGCGAAGCCCAAGGCGAAGTTCAAGGCGAAGCCGTTCAAAGTGCTCTTCAAGTGCGACCTCCGCCTCTCGCGGCTCGTGCTGTGGAGTTCAGGCCACCACCATCCCTCTGGCTGCCCTGGACAGCTAGCCAAGGCGCGTCGCACACTGCCAGGCGCCCTGGTGCAGTGCAAAGACTGTGACCGGGTTCCGTGGGAATATCTCTAGACTCGCCATCTCAATGTGCATTTTTGTAACCGCTTAAAATCGCGTAACTTTGTGGAAAATTGCGTGCAAATTTGTGCGGCAATCACGTTTGCGCCACGCTTCTAAATTATACAAGAGAATAAAATGTGTGATCCTTCTGTATCGTCAAACATGTTTCCCAGTATTGTATGCAATGTATTTTGAACTGTATAGGTACTTTGAATTGTCTGGCTGTCTTAGCGTGTCTGCGCGTCCAACGGAATCAGGCGGAATGTGACGCGATGACTCACGGATCAAATGCCATCCTTGAAACGCGTTCGTTCATTTCTTGAATCAAGTCCGAGGACCACACCGTAAAACTAAACCACTAACGGAATGATGATACGGTGCTCATAGACTCTAAAAGATGAGCCAGGCCTTTTGCGTCGTCCAATTTTACTTTGGTTTTGTTTTTACTTTTTCTTTCTAATGTACTAATGTCCAAATTTACTTGGATTTAATTTGATTTTTATATTTCCTATGTAGTTTTGTAGTGTTTGAATTGTTGAAAGTAAAGTTTCTATTTGCTCATACGAACAAAAGGCTAAGAATCGCAGCAACGGGATATGACCCGTTTCGTCACATTGCGAACAAATTTCACTGTGATACAAATTTTGGTGTTGTAGACTACCGGGAATTATCTTAGTAAAATGACTGCATGGCATTTCTTAGTGGGAAATGGGAAATGAAGTCCTGTAAACAAGTCTTTCTGGTTGCATTTTCGCAGGAAGGTTAAATCGTGACATCAGAAAAGGTGCCGGCAGATCTCAATCTTATTGCATGTCGCAGGTCGTGTAGACTGTGAAGGTAGTGACGGTAGCTTTAGTTTGCAATGGCTATTGCATGGCTTTTTGATCGGCTTAATGGCATGCGTCGAGGTCAGCGACTCTCTCGCCTGCAGGAACTCCAGCCTTGCGTTTGCTTGCAGGTGGCGCGGACGTGAAGACGGAGAGCCCGTTGGACGGAACTTCCCACTGCCGAGGTGGCGACTCGGAAAGCGACGTCCAGGGTGAGGCATGGCGCGGTCCAAAGTTTGGTTCCACAAAGACAGACTGGCTCAGCGTGCCCTCGGTTGCAGGCGTGGCTGCGGACGAGGCCCAGCAGCTCCTCATCGCCGAGACCTTCTCGCTGGCAGTGCCGGCTGGCGACGCAGTCCCGGTGGAGCAGGCCTCGCGCAGGGAGGCAGGCAGGAAGGCGCGCCGCGGCTTCAAGTGTGGAGAGTGCGGCGAGTGTTTTGGTGCGGAGGCGGCATTGAGGCGGCATCTGGCGAGGCACGCCAAGGGCGGGCCGCACTCGTGCGGGCTGTGCGGCAAGGGGTTCACTAGTGCAAAGGATCTTGTCCGGCACGAGAGGACCCACACCGGGGAGAAGCCCTACCAGTGTGAAGAGTGCGGAAAGAAGTTCTCTCGGTCAAGTCACCTTCAAGTTCACAGGAGAATCCACACCGGGGAGAAGCCTTACCAGTGTGAAGACTGCGGGAAGAAGTTCTTTCAGTCACATCATCTTCAAGTTCACAGAAGGATCCACACCGGGGAAAAACCGTACCAGTGTGAAGAGTGCGACAAGAAGTTCTCTACGTCGGGTCATCTTCAAGTTCACAGACGGATCCACACCGGGGACAAGCCGTACCAGTGTGGCGAGTGCGGAAAGAAGTTCTCCAGAGCAGATAAACTTCAAAGTCACAAGAAACTTCACACGGCGTAGTAGCCCATCCAACACAAGGAGTGCGTCAAAACAATCGCATCCGGGTTGCCTCAAGAACGTTAATTATGTTCACACAACCATTTTGGCAAACATTACCCAACCTGATATTCGTGCGATCGAGACGACCGTGTTGTCATTTTTGTTAAGTTGTCTGTTTTTCTTGAGACCCTTCGCGCTACGCCGGCCTTACTTGTGTTCCATCGCCGTCCTTGCTGTCTTTTGGGTATCCTCTATGCCTTCTTGTTTCTTACTTGAAGCGCTCTTATTTTGTAACCTACAGGTGCTGTGCCTTAAAGTTTTGTTATAGTTGCGCGCGAATCGATCCTGAATGCCGTTTAGGCAGGGCGAAATGCAGTTACTCGTTTTGTTTATAATGCGGTGCACACAGAATCTTGAACGTCAGGTTGGCCTTTTTGATGGTCTATGTTTTTCTTAAATTGTACTTCACTTAAGTTTTGTACGTAATGCAAATAAAGTCTCTTATATCGTCCTCATTTATCATCTTCTGCATAAAAGGCGTGAACAAAAGCCAAGCCTGGAATGCACTTTAAAACTGTCAGCCACCATGTACACTGCCAATTGCTAATGCCACCACTTGCAGTGAGCAGGATACTCGATGGTTGACACAGCATGAACACCTCTGTTTTCTTACGTATGAAAGCGTATCAGAAGCGTTCCTCGCTTGTTTTTAGTTTTCGCTGCACGCTGGTGGCTGATCGATTTATCTTTGTGAAACTTTTGAGATCTGTATTCCGTAGGGCGAGATCAGCCCAAAGCTCCTTAATGGAAGTGTTGGTTGGTTCGAGACTGATGTTGCTCTAGTTTTAAGTTAGCTTCCGCATATAAAATTTAATTAGTTACGTTCGAAAACTGTTTCCTTTAAACGACGATTTGTGGCTTGAAAAGTTTCTTGCAGATGTGCTCAAAATATTGGTCCGATGTGGTTGCCTTCATGCCTTCCGTCCGCCTGGAAGCGGTTCTGACGCCGTGCCTCCTTTGCAGGTGCCGCTGCCCTGCCGCCACCGCGGGTCCCGGACGTGCTGCGTGGTGTCGCTGCGCTGGAGGAGGTTGCTGCCCGGAACCCCAACGATGACCGCCTTGGCGCCGCACGCAACGCCCAGACTGCGGCGGATGTGGTTGGAATCTGGCGAGGCGCCAGACGCACTGCCACTCGCGCTGCCCACTGTGTTGCGGGGCGCCTCGAGCGGCTGCCTGCCAGTGCACTCCCTGGACGCTCCCTGCTCCCGCTGCCCGACAGTGCGTCCGCGGAGCTGCCGTGGCTGCGGGCCGATGTGGCCGAACCTGGAGCTAAATTTAACTTTAAACATATCGTGCACTCCAGGAACAAGTGTCGACACGTGTGACTTCGCGTGGCGTCGGCCACCATGTACACTGCACATTGCAGATGCCTGACACAAACCCCATTCGGCAATGAGCAGTCTACTCGATGGTTGATTCCACGCGAAGAAACACAAAGCGTTTTCACTTACGTTTTCACTTCACAACTATATAACTTATATTTTGCGGTACCTGCTGCCTTTGTATATTTTCTTAAAACGAGCGAGATGACATTTTTTACCTTGGTTTACACTGTACTTTTGCACGCCATCTGCTTGTTTTTGTGAGTGTCTGATTCTTTTCTAAGCATTCTAATGTGCATAAAAATCCACTGCTCCCGTATTCGCATTTTGGTGGCGGTCCTGGATGCTTCGGGTGCATGTGCTGCATGCGGCTGTGAATTCGGTTTGAAAAGCCGAGCGTTTCTAACGCCAAGTGCCTTCCAGGTGCTCCCCGCATTGCTGCCAAGAGTGCCTTTTGCGTGGACGGGTTTGGTCCACGCGGTCCCCTGCTGTCCCAGCCGCAGTCCTCGGACAGCCACGGCGCGCATCACAGTGGCAGCCAATCCAGAGCAGCTCAGGTAAAAGAAAAGTTTCAGGTCGACGAGTTCCCGAGTCCTTCGTCAGCACGTTTCACGCGACCACTGAATGTTTTGCAATTGTTTGCTCGAGCAGGACGTGCCAGACTCCGGGGAAACGAGTTCCAGTGACGTGACGGTTGTGGAATTGAAAGTGGAAGCCGAGCAGCGGAAAGGCTCTGGCGATGCGGCCTTTCTTTGGAACGCTGCAACGATGAAGTCTGAGGAAGGAGCGGGCGAGCACGAGGAAGCCAGGGTGGGTTTCCAGCGGCCTTGTAACTTTGCGAAGAATTCGGGTGCTTTGAATTTGCCGAGACTTAACTTTGCAGCACGCAGTTTAAAACGCATTGCAGAAATTTGTTCGTAATAAAATTACAGGTCTCAGAATGATGTTAATTTTTCACAACCTGCAAATTCTGTACAATTTAACTATAGTACCAGAACCTTAAAAACTAGAAAATAATTGGCACACTTAATGTTTTGGTGGTTCTAACAGTGAGTCTCTTCTGCAGGATCCGCTGGCCGCTGCGGAAGCCGTGCCGTCTGTCCAGGAGTGTCTTCAGAGCCTCGACAGCCCTAGTGCCTCTCCACCCAGTTTGCCACTTTCCCAGCTGCAGCGGGTGAGTTCTCCGGGCTGTTGCGTGGATCTCCCACATGTTGACAAGATCTGCAGCGTAAAAACGGTCCCTGGTTTCCGCAGGAACACACTGCAAATTGCCTGTCTACCTGGGAAAACCAGGAACCCTTTTTTTCGGTGTTTCTTGCGTTTGATGGTGGATGGATATTCAAGGCTGTGCCTCATCCCGCTGCTCTCCCCGCAGGACCTACACACACAGCACGGCGCGGCCTGCCGAGGTGGCGACTCGGAAAGCGACGTCCAGGGTGAGGCATGGCGCGGTCCAAAGTTTGGTTCCACAAAGACAGACTGGCTCAGCGTGCCCTCGGTTGCAGGCGTGGCTGCGGACGAGGCCCAGCAGCTCCTCATCGCCGAGACCTTCTCGCTGGCAGTGCCGGCTGGCGACGCAGTCCCGGTGGAGCAGGCCTCGCGCAGGGAGGCAGGCAGGAAGGCGCGCCGCGGCTTCAAGTGTGGAGAGTGCGGCGAGTGTTTTGGTGCGGAGGCGGCATTGAGGCGGCATCTGGCGAGGCACGCCAAGGGCGGGCCGCACTCGTGCGGGCTGTGCGGCAAGGGGTTCCCAACGGCTTGGCATCTCATGAGGCACGAGAGGAGCCACACCGGGGAGAAGCCTTTTCAGTGTGAAGAGTGCGGAAAGAAGTTCTCTCATTCAAGTCATCTTCAAGTTCACAGGAGGATCCACACCGGAGAGAAGCCATACCAGTGTGAAGAGTGCGGGAAAAAGTTTTCTCAATCGAGTAATCTTGACGCTCACAGGAGAAGCCACACAAGGGAGAAGCCGTAGAAATGTGAAGTGTGCGGAAAATCTTTTCCTACATCAGAAGATTTCAACAGGCACAGGAAAATTCACAAAGGGGAGAAGCCCAATTAGACAAAATCGCATCCGCGTCATTTGAAGAAGGTCTTCTTACCATTAACAGTTGTGTGCTGATCGACATTGTACCATATGTGTGAAGTGTGAAGAGTGCGGAAAAATAGACGACGTTGATGCATGAATCATTCATACTTAAACGCGTAGAAACAAATCTTTGAATTTGTACCTTACGTTATTGATACATGGGAAATGTCCTGTCCGACGTCGGAATAGTTTTTGCTGAGCCTTCTTTTTTTGTGTTCCTGTGTTCAATCACCATTGCTACCGTTTATGGCTTTTTTTGCTTTTTCTGTAGATTTAGTGCTATTTTTTTTAAGTTTTGATCTGTTTCCAACCTAACCTTTATGATTACTCTGGACTGTTGGAATCTTTTGTACGAATAAAATTTCGTTGGCCACAGTCAAACCGTAGTTGGCAAAGCGGAACGCTTAGCTGGCCGAACGAATGACCCTCTCGCTGGGCCACCGAATCGCTCCGCTGTTCCAACCCCAGTTTCGCTGCTGGAGACCAAATTCTATTCCTTGTCAGATCTAATGCTTGCGTGCGTTAACGAAATCGTGTCGCTTATCACTCTTTAGTCCACCTTACCTTGTCCAAATCAGTTGACCCTGAGCGATGAAGCCAAGTAAATTCTAGTTCTTTCTATTTCGTGCTTCTTTCGCAACCCACGTAAACCACAGCCAGCAATGAGCTGATACTCAAGAAGTACACCACATGCAGCGTGTTTTTATCAATGTTTCCGTTTCATAAGCGATTGGATTATAGATTCCGCCGCATGCTGTAGGCTTTTCGATTTATTTTGTCTTGAAATGCACGAGACACTTGAAGGGAGCACCGTAAACCGGGCCTTCTTTGGCCTATGTGTTAAAAACCCGTTACAGTCGTTTTTTTTTACATTAGTAACATTTTTTTGCCGCTAGGTTAAATTTACCCCAGTAGGCAAATTATACCGCATTTACAGCAACTACTTTCGGTGTTTGCGGAGGATTTCTGAAGTGAAGAAATTCAGACGGATTTTGTAAGTTTTCGCTGGGTTTGACGACTAATTTTTCGTCTTCTTTTGGACGGGATTTGAATTTGGCCCGCAGTCTCAAAAGCCTACGAACCATTTGCTTCATTGATAATGAAGGCATTGTACTCTAGAAATCGAAGAGCGTACATTGTATGCTCTAAATGGAGCATGCCTGCAAGCACGCTCTAGCTAGCGCATGCCTGCCAAGCATGCAATTACTAGTGCATACATGCTATGTACACGCTAACTGAAGCATGCATCTAGTGCATAAGGGATAGGGAGTTGCCTGCATCAGGAAGCGTATACATGGCAGGTACGCACTAGTAAGTGCATGCTTGGCAGGCATGCGCTAGCTAGAGCGTGCTTGCAGGCATGCTCCAGTTAGAGCATACAATGTACGCTTTTCGATCTGTGGAGTAGAATTGCCTCGTATTATGAAGCAGATAAGCTTCGTTTTTCAAAGGATTTAATTTCATAACACGAATCATTTTTTGTAGATTTGAGAATGTCTTCATTTTCTTCGTATAACGAAGCGATTCTTCGTAGAGTTTTTACTGTGAACCTTTGATAAGGCCGTGGGTTTGGCAGTGCACTTGGTGAAATGAAGTAAGGTTGTTGTGTTCATAACTCCAGATTAACATTTCCCTATCAGGTTGTGATGACGGTGCCTAGCGATTGTCGGGATCCACAACGTTGCCTGCTCCCCAGCGGCACTAACGCCGTTTCCGTTCCAGATGCTGCCGCCGCTCCCTCAGGCCGCGTTGTCGTCAACAGGGTCCTTCGCCGGGACAACTGTGGATTTTGGTGCACAGCTTCCTTCCCGTGTCCAAGCAGCACGCGTCACACCCAAACCGAGGAGAAGCAACCGTGCAGGAGAAAACAAAGGTAGGTTTCAGACGTCATTGACCTAAGGGCCCCCAATCTCAAATTTGTTCGAAGAGTCGGTAGGCTCTGAAAAACTTAATTATCTCCTCCACATTATTGGTCATCCAAAAGTACCACTCATGTTTTAATGGAGAGAAAAGTACTTGAATTTCTCTCAACTCAAAAGTACTCCTGCAAGTTGCATCCTTTCATACATTCGCCCGTTTTCGGTCAGACAGCCAAGACTCGCCCCTTGAAGGGTGAGATATCTCCCATCTCGATTGCCGCGTAAAATCATCGAAACGTTTAAACTGTCTGTGTTCCGGGCATCTTACTCCTATGACCCTACGCTACAGCCGAAGTGTCCGTGTTCGTTCCATCCGGTTCCAACCGAGGGGTTACCCACTCCGGGAATCATGTGTACACTCAGTCCGGGAATCATTCGTAAATCTTTTAAAATTTGATGGAAAATCCTCATAGTTTCAATTTAAAGTCATGGTAATCATGTGATACACACAAAAACATTCAAATACAAAGCAAATTACTCGAAAGTTTTCTCTTTTTCTCATGGATATGTTCTGGGAATCGCGGGAATCCGGAATCGTGTGTACACTAAAACAACGAGTGGGTAACCCCTCGGTTCCAACACTCAGCTCCGCTCCCCCGCCGCAGGAACCGCAGCCGGCAGCGGCAGCCACGCCTCAAGCCCAGCGGGAGTGCATTCGAGAGCTCGACCTGAAGGACCTCTGCGAGGCGACGCCGGAAGAACGACTGGAGGAGAAGGCAGCCACTGCAACGCTTGCGGCAGCGAGGGGTCTGTCGAGAGACTACGATCGCTTCCTCAGCGCAGGGGCCTCCAAGTCAGTTGGATTAGCTGTGTTAATCACCGTTTCATCACAGTGCTGTGGAGGGTTGGACACACCAGGGACACCAGGACACAACAGGGCCATCTAGTGCTTGGGTGCCTGCGGCTATGAAAGAGTTGTTGTGTAGGCAGGATGTCAAACGTGTTTGCATTAAGAATTTTTTACGAAGGAGTTGATAACGTTGCTTTTCAGGGTGGAGGAGGTCTGTGGTCTGCGTAACGCCGCGTTAATTTCGGGGACGGCACACTCTAAAAAGCCTACGAAGCATTTGCTTAATAACTGCAAAGAAAAAAAAGTTTCACTGAACACACCAAACGCGACAGCATATCTTAGAATAAAAGAGCCAAAAACACGTTGAGATCAGAAATTTTCCGTAACGTTACGCTAGACGGTAGTAGGGGAACGGGTCTGGGCTAGCGTAACACCACGTTTCTCAGGGGTGGCGGGATGGTGTCCAAACCTGCGTAGCGTACTATAATAGACGGTCCCCTGGGACGCGTCTGGAGAAGTTTGATATTCAGATGTACCAGATTTCGCGCTTTTTCGACATTTTGTCAAGAGCAAGGTTATGATTGCTGTCTGCTATTGGCTTGATTATTTGTTTATTTCACTATTAGAGGCAGATTTTTTTCAATATTTTTAAGCTTGGGCGTTTAATTTCTAACCTACTGTTGTCTTGTGTACACTCTCAAAACCTTACAAACTATTTTCGACGTTACATTTAAAAGTAGCTCGGTATATCAAAGTATTTGAGCAAACAGAGGTAGCCCCAAGGTGGAAAAGGCATATATATACATCGTGCTCAACCAGCTTTTTGTTTGTCAACACTCCTTTTCGAACTTATTAATTTAGCAAACCTGTTTTCAGACGGTTATCTATTTTCAAATTTTGATATCCCAAATTACTAGTGATATGTTTGTTTTTAGGTAAACGCTGTTACGCCAGGACGGCACGCAGGCATAGTTTGATTGTACCTGAATTTAGAGTTATGTTTGTTACTTTGCATAAATCAACGTTTTTACCGATGGCTTCTGCTATGAGCCATGTAGCCACGATTCTGAACAGGAGATAGACTGTTTTCAAGCGCCGTGTTACTAGGTGCCCCGCTGTGGGGCAGCCAGTTGCAATTGCAGAAGCCATTTCGCGACCGTGTTTCACCCATAATGTGGTGACCCTAAAAATTTATTTTAAGTGCTCAAGTCAAAAGTTCAATTGATAAGTTCTATTCAAAATATTTGGCATACATATGAAAATACGGTGGCCAGAAGAAAATTTCAAAACGTTTCAGTTGTGCCCCACTCTCCCGTATTTGGTTCGCCGTGTTGCCTCGTTCCAAAGTGGTGGCGAAAACTGCTCTTCGTGTGTACATTGCTTGGACTTTCAAGTTGCTCAGTGCGATGTTGCGTCTGCAGGTTCTGCGGTTGACCTACGTGTGTTGCGAGCGAGACCCTGCCTGGGTCCCGGACGCGCTGCGTGGTGCCGCGCCCACGCTGGAGGAGATTTCAGTCCGGAACCCAACGTCGGTCACCTCCGCGCGCTCCACGCTGCACCCACACTGCGGCGGATGTGGCTGGAATCTACTGGGGGCCGACCGCTCTGGCAGCCGCGCTCCCCGCCCCGCTGCAGGGCGGCCCCAAGTGGGTGCGCTGCCTGCAGCCAGCCTGCTCTCGCTGCTGCGGCCCACAGCGCGTCCCTGGAGGAGCTGCACACGGATTCCGTCCAACGTCCGATAGCACCAGTGCGGCTCGCTAGGGTACTTGTAGTTAGATCCCTGCACCGGATTGCAGCAGGTGCAAGAGATTTGGGGAAGAGACCCAACTTGACATGGGAAAGAGACGTTCGTCCAAACGTATCGGCCACACTTGAACCACAAACAGTTGTTTGATACTTGTTTGAGTGATATGTTTTTCGCGAGCAATATTTGAACAGCTCGGCTATAGTTTTGGATCCGAAGAGAGGTTAGTTTCGGCCCAATTTCAGTCTGCTGGTCTGCTTGCTTCCGGTTCAGGATTCTACGAAAGTACCCTATTAACAGCATATATCCTGTTAAGTTTTTTAGCAACACTTGTTGTAGAAGAACGGCATATTGTTGGAGCTGAGTCGTTATCCAACAGCAGTGTTGTAAAAAGGGATGATGGCTCTCTGTATCTGATCTCTGACAATAAGTTGTTGTGTAACAGAATTACCATTTCCAAATGGCACCAACCTGTTCATAAACAACACTTTTCTGTTTTCAAACAAAAAAGTTGTTACACATTTACAAAAAGAATGTCGAGGGTCCTAATAGTCTTATCCAATACTAGCAGTCATTCAGAAACGCTCTTTTCTGTTTACAAACAGCACTGTTCTTCAACGCGGTCTCTCTGTTATTCACAAAAAGGAAATAGGAGTTTCCTGACGGCTCAAACAAGACATTTGTTTTGTAACAGTTCGTGCAGTTCTTGGACAGTTCACCGCTGTTTAAAAATTGGAAGTGTTGCTAAAAAACTTTACAACACAAATGCTGTTCAGAAAAAACAGAATTTATTTTGACATAGTTGGAGTTTGATTTGAGCCGTGAGCTGCAAAATGCTCCGGCAAATCTTCAATTGAATGGTGTTGTTTTTAAATGACAGGATACCGTTCCAAAACAGCATATATCATTAATTTTACAAACAAGATGTTCTGTTTTCCAGCATTGGAAATCGACTATATTTGTTGTTTTCTCCAATGATGAAACTTGCTGTTTCCTAACAGCATTTGTGCTGTTTTAAGTTCCGATGACACGTGCTGCTTAAAAGCAAATCACTCGTTGGTAAATGTGCTGTTTTCCTACAGTTTCTTTTAACAGTGAACGGTTCGACCTGGTGCACCAGTGCGGCCTCGCTCGGCTCGTGCTGTGGGAGTTGAGCCCCACCCCTTCCCAGGCATTGCTCCTGCAGGTGCAAGAGATGGGTTGCCGAAATGCGCCGCGTACTGCCGGGCGCAGAGGTCCAGTGCCAAAAGTGTGACAATGTGGCGTGGGAGCACTTTTTGAGCCAGGCCCAGGGCAGCCTTCAAGATGTTTCTCATTTTGGTAGTGTGGAGGCTCTGTTATGATTTTCATTTCTGTACAACATTATTGGTGGGGAATTGCTTTTTCGTATTTAAGTTTGTTTTTGTTTACACGCGACTCACACCGAAAAATTTAATTTGTACATCCACTTATGTAACTGTCTGCATCTGATGTAAAACTTAACGGTGTCACAGAAATGACCGGGATTGCAGCGTGAAACATGTTATTGAAATCTTGAATCGTGAGAACTGACCCTACAATAAAGCTTGAAAAATAATTAACACTAGGAGTAAGTGTCAACACATGTGACTTCGCGTGGCCTCTACCACCATGTACGCTGCACATTGCAGTTATGCCTGACGCAATTCCCATACGGTAATGAGCAGTTTACTCGATGGTTGATTCCTCGCGAAGAAGTACCAAGTGTTTTCACTTACGTTTCCATATTGAAAGTGTTCCTGACTTGATTAAAAGTTTCCGCTTCACGCTCATCGTTTTTACTGCACGTGTTAGCTTGTTAATTTGTTTGTTTGACACGAACAAGATTTCGTTACTAACTTCAGTAATCATCATATTTCCGCAATGAAAACTTTTCTATTGTTTGCTTGTGTCTCGGTAAAAGTAGTACTTGAGACTCCCAAGTCGCTCCTGAGAAAAAGACCTCTTTGTTCAGCGTGGGTCTGTGAAAATCAATCACTTCTTTTGCAGTGTCCTTTGCTCAGCAAAAGTAATGCATGTGCATGAAACTTGGCTTATCGAGTCTTCTTCGGTGACGGTCCTGGGTGAATGTCCTGCATGTGTCTGAAGTAGTCTAACCAAGCGTTTCTAATGCAAAGTGTCTTCCAGGTGCTCCCAGCGCCCCTGCACCCCGCATTGCAGTCAAGAGTGCCTTCCGCCTGGACAACTTCGGACCTCGCAGCCCACTTCTCGCGTCTGGGTCGCCTGCCGAGCGCGAAGAAGCGGGCGAGGAACCCAGGGTAGGTTTCTGGCGGCAATGAAACCGTCTCTAGAATCCCAACTGTCCGCCTGGGACAGACTTGCAGTGCCTGCTTGCAAGTACAAACGGACACTTGGTTAAGTAAATACCTGCGAACGCATACTTGGCAAGTACGCACTTTCAAATATATGTGTGGAGAATAGAGTAATAGTAATACGGCGCCAAGCACGCAGTTGCAAGTGTGAACTTTGTCAAGTAGGCGCCTGTAAGTGTGTACTTTATTGTCTACACGCGCTTGTAATAATGTACTTTGTGGACAGTTTGTACGCTGTCGTCGCGAAAAATTGGCGGATTTAACGGAGACTGAATTTGATTAACGGGACTCCGTGGTTCATTACATGCTATCGATTTCGTCTCCGATACGAACTAGGAAGTTTGCATGTCCAATGAGCCTGAATCCTTCGCGTTTCATAGCACAGTACATTCAACGTTGCATCGCACTGTGAATATGGTGACAATGATTAGGATGTTTTCCAGAGTGCCTGTCCCTAAAGCGCCTGCTAGGGTGCCGTCCGCCGTCGAATGGCATGTGGACGTGGAGTGCTTCGAAAGCTTTGGAGAATGATCGATTGTTCTCTGCATGTTGCATTAACATGCGCCGGTGCGAAGCGGCAGGAGTGAAAGGCGGCGTTACAAATGCGTTTATTGGCAAAACGCCGTGCATCAGCCGTAAAAACGGAGGAAATATGGAAGTTCTCCAGACCGTTGGCGGCGCCTCCCCCATGGACACAAGTGCTAAGCCGCGGCGCTGTGCGTGCAGGTGCGGCGGTTGAGGTACATACGCTGCGACACCGACCCTGCCTGGACCCTCGAGGTGCTGCGTAGCGCCGCCCCGACGCTGGAGGAGGTCTTCGTTTCGACGCCCCAAGAGGAGCACCTTCGGACTGTGCACGCCATGCCGCGACTGCGACGGATGTGCCTGCTTACGTCGCAGCCTGGTTTGACTCGGGTCGCGCTGCCCGCCCTGCCGCACGGCAGCCTCGAATGGCTCAGGGTGAGCGGACTGCCCCAGCCCGCCCTGGTGTCGCGCTGCAGGCCCACGCCGCACGCCTGCAGCAGCGAGGGGTGAG